TTGCGCTTAGTTTGATTGAACGCTCATAAGTATGTGACTCCATCTATCTCCTTATTCACGAGTGTGAGTGTGGGAGTGTGTGTGAGTGTGTGTGTGTGTGGGAAGGCTCCATTAAATCAAAGGATCAGACATTACGTCTGGATGTTGGTCGTCGACCATCCAACAGCTTGCTGTTCCCTGTTGCTGTTGTGATGCCAAAATTTATGTTCGAATTGTGTTACTTTGCAGAGGGGCTTCAAAAAACCCCCCTCATTCCACCTACAAAATTTTAAAGCCTTTTGTTTACATTTTTTTTTTTTGGAATTTAGTATTTAAAGCTTTGAAAAACTTAGACAAGTGCAAAGTCAAGACTTATATTGAGATATTTTATATTTTTATAATTCCTAAGACATAAGAAATAGATTCAAAAATAATTAGTCAGAACCAGCCGGATCGAGCGACTATAGTATATAGCTCCCATAGGAATAATCGAAAAAATAACTGAAAAAAAAATGACTTCGACTTGCCGAAGTTTGCTTCCGTTTTTAATAAATTTTTTGTGTACAAAATTTCACGATTTGTGTCCCACGTAAGTGTCGTGACAGGATTGGACAGTTAAACTTCACAAGCGAATCTTATGTGTGCGAAATGGTAAATGTTGAATGAGTTTAATTATGTTTGCAGAACTATGAAAACAAAGGAATGACGAGGGAAAATTGGCGGTGTGTGGGCCAGAGGCCCAGATATTGGCCCATTATTTAGTGCTGTTAAGCGATTTCCGTACTGAAATTGAATGTTTTCACTGCCCATGTGAGTGTGTCTGTGTGTGTGAGTGTGTGTGTGGCATATTTCTATTTAAAGTGCAGCCCAAACAAACACACACAAGGAAAGGAAGTATGACCAAATGGAGTCAGAGCGAGAAAGGGAGAGTAGAGAAAAGGACCCGAGGAACGAGCAAATAAAACGTTGCTGGCCACACGCCATTTTCATGTTGCATCCTGCCATTACACAGACACACGGACACACACACACACACACATGCACAAATGGAGAGACAAGGAGGGGAGGAAGGATTGTGAGTGAGCGAGAGGGAAACAAGTGGTCCTGACGTTCGCCGCATGCAAAACTGCTCGTTTATTCAACAACATAAACATTGTTGTGCACATAAATTTATACAAAGTTCTAGTTTACATACCCGGCTTAAAGTGGGTGGGTGGGTGTGTAGGGTTTTGGCAAAAGGGGGGCTGGGAGGGTGGACACAGGGGGCAGCAAGCTGGCACAGTTAACGGGTCGAATCGATATTCATATCAACCGCAAAATGTGTGTCGCTGTCGTTGTTGCACCATTTTTATTTCCTTCTCTGTATTGTTGCTTTTGGGGATCAAGGGGAAACGGGCATGAAAAGTGGGTGAAAAGGGTATGAAAAGGGTTTGAAAAAGGAGTGAAACGAGGACGCCGGAAAAGCGGGTGAAGGCCTGAAAGTAGGCTGCACAATTTGATGCATTTAAGGGAGCGAGAGCAGCACAGGCAGCAGGACATGGCCAGGGACATGTGCTCGCAATTTGTCGGCAACGGTGGCAGCACATTTTGATTCTATTTATTTTACAACGCGCCATTGTGCCAAGTGTACGCGACAGCCAGAAGGCCCTTCACCCAATAATCCATAACAATTAATTAATTTTCGGCCATAAACACAAACAGTCAACACGAGTTGTCAAGCAGCTTTTGAATTATTTGAGTTAATTAATTTATTTATGGCTGCATTTTGTCAATTTGCAATTAATTAATACAAATATCTATATGATGGTTTCTGTGTTTTAAGCGTTTCGTGTTGATTTATTTGCTTTTGGTTTAGAAAGAAACAATTTAAAGGGAAACACAAAAACAAACAAAAAATAAATACAATGGGTTTAAATTTAAAATATCATTTACTTGGATTTTTTAATGTAAATTGATGGAATGGTCTTTTTATGCTTGCTTAACTGTCAGTTATGCTTTCTTATTTTCTTATTTTTTGAATTTTTCCAATGATTCGCTGTATTACATTTATTTTACTCCACTTGCTGTTGCTGTAAGTAAATGAAATACAGCGAAGGGCGGCCAGGAACTGCTGCCACCATTCAACAGTTGGTGGCTGTCTTGGTCCGCTTCGAATAGGTCTGCTTTTTGGTATTTTGAGGTGGTGTTGGGCTGGTTTGGGTGGCTGGTGGTTATGGTGGGAGGGGCTTGGGGTGTGGGTTGATTTTGGCGAGGGTTTTGGGACAAGGCCGCGGCGGTTTTTGTTTGCGTTTGCGTTTTGTCAGCCATGACAGCGACGGCAATTGCGCCACCTGCGGCTCCATATTGACACTTGTCTGTGTGCTTGTGTGTGAGGAAGGTTTTTGCCCAAGTGTTTGTGCCGTATCTGTGGGTGACGTTTCTGTGTGTGCGAGGGTGTGGGTGAGGGATGGGTGTGTGGCCTTGTTTGTTTATGAGCCCTAATCAAATTGCCCATAATTAGATACAACAAAGTTGAATCTTTTGAAGCGTTTTCGACGTTTTCTTGGTCTCTTGAAAATACCTCATTGCCATCCCCCTTTTCTCCACACACCACCCACTGCCCACCATCCCCATTTCGCCATTTCCACTTCCTGTCGTGCCGGAATCGTCAGCATACCAAAAACGCACGAACGGATACGCCACGTTAGCTGTTCGCAATGCGTTCGGAATTTGGAAAAATCCATTTCGATGGGTGTGTTGGTGTGTGTGTGTGTGTGTGTGTGTGTATGTGTGTCGCAGATCCTTTCAAGGAAACGGACTGCAGTGTGAAACTAGCAAATGTACAAGTGAAAATAAAGAATTTAACACGCCAGCCTCGGGCAGTTAAAAATGGAAATTAAGAATTTAAAAGGGCTGCTTCAGGCAATAAAAGATGTTCAATTAATGCTTTGAAGTAGTAAATTCTGTAAAGTAATTTTATATAATTCATGCTTTATATATCTTAGGGACCTTTAAAAGCCAGAATTATATTGCAACGAGAACGGAAGCTAACTTTGGCAACCCAAATACTCTGAAAGCAGTCTCAATCACAATGAATAAAGTCTTGCTAAATATAAAAATTCAAATCGTGCTTCTTGTTTTAAATTCCTTACAAATAATGATCGTCATTTGGAATGCCATATTTTGTTGAAGTTGTCTCTACATATAATATAACTATTAAATAATAAGTATTATTTTGTATAATTATGTTTGCAAAATAACTTGAAAGGCGAAAATTTGCGGAATCTCTTCGATTCGAAAGCCTTACCCTTGAGAATATGCAACATTTTTATGACGGGTCTTTCTTTCTGCCCTCCTGCCCTCCTGCCGCCCAACCACCCAACCACCGAAGCACAGGACATCTTTATACCGATCCCGATGCCGATGCCGATCCCGACAATGCCATTGCCATGTTGCAGTCCTTTGTCTCGGTGGCGCATTGTGGAAGTTGCACACGAGTTGCTGCCGGACAAACAAAGGAGACAGATAAACTGATTGACAGATGAACAGATGAACAGATGAACAGAAGGAGCGAGATGGCGGTGCACTTAATGGGTTGCTATGTGGGTGGTTTGACGGGTGATTGGGGAGTTGTGAGTGGTGATTCGAGGGGGTGGTTCGAATGGGTTGGTGGCTGGTGGAAAAGTCTGTTTGACATTTGCCGTCATTGTCAACGTCGGTCGCAGTTGGTGATGTTGCTGCCATTCCTGTTGCTCACCGACCGACCGCCTGCCGTTGCTTTGTGCAATTGCCCGCTGCTTACCATGTGCCACCCCATCTGCTACCCACCAGTTGGCCACCCGCAATGCCACCAACTAAACCACCCACTAAACCACCCAGCAGTGGTTCGCTAGGTTGACCGCCAGTGGGCAACGCCTTTGTCTCTGCGGTCGAGCACGTCAGCTTATTGGGATTGTTGAGTGGCCACCCGATTATCGCCTTGCACCACCCTGCTCCACGCAGCACCACCCAGCACCAGCCCGCAACACTCTTCACTACTCAATTTTAGCACACACTAGGTGCAAACTGCAATCGATTGTCAAAACAAAACAGAACGTAGAGTGCCGAGCAAGTTGTAAAAATATTTCATAAAATATTTACATTGTTGTGTGGCTGCTGGTGCAGCTGCTGCTTCTGCTGTTTTCCTATTTATCCATTTGTTTGTTTGTTGGTCCTTGTATTTTCTTTCTTGCTTTTTCCTTGGCCACTCGCCTGATTGATTTTGTATTAATTAAACCAGTTCCAAGCACCAGATCCTTGACGATTTTCAAAGTTTATAAGGGTACGTGTATTCAATCAGTGCAAATTGCAGGCACAATAATGCTCAAGTTATGTGGGTTATCTAAATTAAAGTTTATTGATGCAATCAGCTTTGAAGGGTTTCGAAAAATACCTTGAATGGCATTTATTGCCATTTGATTATTTCTTTGAGCTGGCTTCGAATTTAAAATGTATTTTTAATTAAGAACTAGAATTTTTTCAAAAACAATTGTGGGAAAAATATAAGCGCATTAGGTGTTTATTAAACATCAGTTTACACAGAAAATAATAAATCTTTGCTTAAGAAAATTTAAAAGTTTTCTAATCAAAAAGTTTGTTAGTACTATTGTTGCATGTATTTTAAACTATTGTGGCTTAAAAATAAGGCCTCAGACTACAGTTTTAGACCTTTTGGTATAAGGTTTATATTCATTTATTTTCATGTCACACTTATTAGAACTAATCTTTCAGTTTATTTTTGGGTGTAACCATAATACAAACAATTTATTTTATCAAGCGAAGGGATCGTCTTATTTTAATAAAGCTCGTATGGAAAATGACTTGCATGTGGCACCCAATGCCAATGGTAATTAATACAGCCATTTCCCCCATTTATTTGAAATAAGTACCTCAGTTTTTTTGCCTTGTCATAGGAAACACTTTTCATACGGCCCATTAGAGGTGTTCGTTGGCATAATTTCGACTGGAAACTCATAGACCTACCCTTATTGTTTTCCTTGCAGATTTTGCCAGCACGGAAACGGAAGTGAGGACGCCCCGAGGAAAGTGGAAAAGCGCAGAACGGCAGGAAAAACGGCTGAATAATACAAATTAAAACATAATAAAATGTAAAACGCAAATGACAACAGAACTGAGAACGGCGAACGGAGGCGAAAATAGCAAAAAAAAAAAAAAAAAAAAAGAAAAAGAAAAGCGAATCGGTTGACATGCCCAAAAAAATGCGCGTGGCGGCAACTTTTCCACTGAATTGATTTGAATTGAGTTTGAGGTGCCGGCATACGGAGCGTATGCGCGATACGTATACGCGATATATAGGGCGCCGGGGGAGCGGCGAAAATTTGCATAACTTTGCTGGCGTGGCATAAACATCAAAAACAAATTGCAAGTAACAAAAGGAAACAACGGTCATAAAAACGGCGCCAGCCTCGTAAAAATACGTAAAAATTTCGCCCCCCTCAACTCACTCACTCACTCATCCACTCACTCACTTGCTGGCTAAATTAATTTATGCAGCAAATCAAATACGAATAGGGAAGAGAAATATAAAAGTAATAGCAGGCAGTAACAATTAAGACAGCAGGAGAAAATTAAAAGAAAAGCCGGGAAAATTGCTGGCCAGTGCAGCAGCAACAGCCAAAACAGTGTCGAAAAACCGGTTAGCAAGGGTTGCTTATAAATGTACCAGGACAGTGGCTGCAGCAGCAGTAGCAGTCGACGCGGCAGCAGCAGTGCAGCAGCAGCAACATCAACAGCAGCAACTGCAGCAGCAGCAGCAGCAACAGCAGAAGCAGCAGCAACTGAAGTGGCAGCAACATCTACGACAGCAACAACAACAACAACTAGCAGCAGCGACGAGGAAACGCTCGAAACGCTCACAATTATAACCACCACCATCACCGAGAGCGATATCCATGCCAATGCGACGACCACAAGCACGACGGTTATAGCCAGCGGCACGGCGACCACAGCGGCAACAGCAACAGCAGCAACACTTGCCACACTCGCAACACTAGCGACGACTACAACAACGACGAACAGCGACATCGAGGACAGCAGTCCGGTGGAGAGCGAGGATAGTGCCGAGTGCGCATACATTGAGATCCAGGAGGTAACCTCGCCCAGTGGCGCCAGCAGCAGCAGTTACGGCAATGCAGCCTTGCTGCAGCGCAGCACCAATAACCAGCAGCAACTACAGCAACATCAGCAGCAGCAGCAACAGCAGCAACAGCAGCAACAGCAACAATTGCAACTGCAGTTGCAACAGGCGGACGTGCGATTGCTGCGTAAGATCGGCTACATTGCATCGCGAGTGCGCTGCCTGTCCAGATACTACGGCGATTTTCGTCTGGTAAATCCGTACAGTGCCCGGCGACAGCGGCGCCAACTGCAGGAGATCCTGCTGCGGCACTCGATCTTCGATCCCGGCAAGGAGCACCAGCGGGCGATTGTGTTGGCCGCGGCAACAGCGGCAATTGCTGGCCCACACCTGGCGGCCATCGATTGTGCCTGCGGCAACAGCAGCAGCATCAGTCTAGAGGTGGTCAGCAGTCGGAGTCGCAGCAGTGAGCTGGAGGAGGATCAGCAGGAGCAGCAGGATCAGCAGGAACAGGATCCCGATCAGGAGCAGGAACAGCCCGGTGAAACAGACATTGAGGAGGAGCCACCGCCGGCCATTGCTGTGACCACCACCACGGACACTGTGCGCCGAAAGTCGTCGAGCAGCTCCACCATTAGCGGCGCCACCACCGTTTCCCGATCCGGTTCCGTTTCCGTTTCGGCCTCCGCCTCGCAATCCTTTTGCTCCAACAACATCAATCTGCTCGAAGAGCTGCTCATCCAGTTCTACGAGGAGCAGGATCATCGCAGCAATCTGACTGTGATCAGGCACCATCATCATCATCATCAGCAGCAACAGCAGCAGCAACAGCAGCAGCAGAGGATCACCAATAACAATAACAATAACAATTGCAACAGCATACAGAACAACAACAACATGTCGAATCCAGCAACTGCAACTGCAACTGTGGCCACTGCAGCGGCAACAACAGCAGTGGTCAGCATGGAGCAACCAGCAACATCGAGCGGCAACACCAGCACCCACTTGCAACCCACCTTGCTGACCACCGCCGCCGCCGCTGTCGCCGCCGATGGCAGCGATAACAATCCGAGGCGCCGGCGGGCCAGCGATTGCTCAGCGGTACAGGCCGCCCTCCAGAATCAGCTGCACTGCATCACGCTAAAGAACAACAATTGCGGCAAGACGATGCCCTTCCATCGCGGCAGCTGTGGCGCCGCCGGCGAACACTTGCTGGCGGCCAATTCCATTGCCAATCGGGCCACCATCATACTGAGCAAGTCCTGCAGCAATGTGGACGGCGATGTGGCCGCCAGTTTGTTGCCCACCGGCATCGGGGGCGGCAACAAAATGCGGGCCAGTGCCACCGACATCGAGTCGAATGCGCTGAATGGGGCCAGGGATGCCATGGCCACCATCGCCTCGAATAATGGCAACGGGAACGGTAATGGGAATGGCAACGGGAACGGTAATGGTAACGGGAATAATGGGAACAACGGCAACAACGAGTACAGCATCCTGCAGCTGAACAACACGATCATCCAGTGCCACTTCAACGACGACGACTTTCGCGCCTTGGTCAAGGACCTCAAGCGCAAGGTCGAGTACACGGAGCGCATGAACTGGCTATGTGAGTAGATCACATTATCAAAATGCTTTTAAAATATATATTTTATTATATCTATGTTCGTATATACAAATTTTTCTTAAATTGATTGCAGCAAAATATAAAATAGGAAAAAATTCTTATTGAATTAAAAAAATCGTTCTAAAAACAAAGGATTATTTTCATGTTGAAATTTTTTGTAAAAACTAAGATAAATTTTTCTCAAATCCTAGAAGGAATAAATTTTGGACTAGCTAAAATATGTCATATAAAACTATTAACTTTTTTGATCAAGATATGGTGGGCACTGTAATTTTATAAAATATTTCCCTAATTTCTATAAGATTTTTAAATTTGTAGCTAAACCTTATAATTGGCAAAACAAATTCGCTGGTAACTTACTCAATAAAATTTCGTTTTATTTTGTTGTCGAGCATTCCCTGAAGACTGCCAGGGATACCTTTCCATCAGTTATTTTACCAACATAATTGATGGCCCAATTCCGCGCTAACAAATGGCGCAAATGGTCAATTGCTTTGGCCTCGCAACCCAACCCCGCACTTTCACCCATTTCCGCTTTCTGCTTTCACCACTTTCTCCCTCTCCCTCTCTTTCTCCTCTTTCTTTTTGTTGCTGTGTGTAATCGCCTCAAATGAGGCATGAGCAAATGCAACAATGGGTTGGAATCAAATGGGCAAATTCAAATGCAACTACAATGGAATGGAAAAATCATTTCAAAACGGTGCACAAATGCCACGACTGCACGAAGGGTTAGGGCATTGGCTTTTCCAACCGGAAAAGTGTGTGGGTGTGTGTGTGGTATGCGGGTGGAAAGCGGCCGGTCTGGCGTTTTGAAATATTTAATTCAATGGCAGGAAGCCTTCACCATTTATGCTTTTCCACATTTTACATTTACCAGCATGAATGTTGCATATGTACAGTGTAAATGAATAACTTATGACCTGCAGCTGGATTATAATTTGATTGGTTTTTACTGCACTAAATTTTATGTATAGATTTGCCACATACAAGAGGACATTGCCACCTAAAGCGTAGGGCTATGCACAGGGCGAAGACGTGACCTAAATATCATTGCAAGGACGCAGATCCTGCTTGGCACTTCTCGAGCTCATCAAAAGTTTCTACTTTCGACTGACTTTCAGTACTTTCCACGGTGTCTCGATTGCCTGTGGCCTTTCACGGCAATCCGCCCTTTATGTGTACCGTGTGTCCTGCAAAGGACAATAAAAGAATAAAAGACAACAAATGCGGCGACCGAGTTTTCCACTGAAACAAAATAACATAATGTCAGGTTCCAGAAGTTTAATAAATAAAATCAGACTCGAATATAAATGGAAAAAGACATACATATTTTTTTATGTTAAAAAGTTCTTAAAAGTAATACATAAATCCACAATTCTTGCTTTTTCGCGAAATTTCCAAGTTTAATAAAAAATAATATTTTTCGAGTGCACAAAAAACTATCAGAACTTTGTTGAATGGCATTAAAAGTTGTCTTTGTATCGACACCAAGTTTTGCTTGCATTTTTGTTCTGGTGTTTCCCTGCATTTTATTTTTCCCCGCTTTTCCTCTGTTCGTCCCATTCGTCCTTGCAGTTAGCATATAAGAAGGTTTTCTCCACTCCAAGAGCGAGTGTGTATGTGTGTGTTTGACGGCTGCTTTCTGGCATTTTCCACACTATCGCATTTTAAAAATTTCAATTCAATTGTTGCCGGCCCGCCGCAATGTTTACCCCACTTTTCGGCGCCTGTTGATTGCCTTCCGTTCAATTGGTTGCTAGGATTTTTCCACCCTCCCAACTCCCAACGAAAAATATTTAACTGCTGATTTTCCTTTAATCTTTCGAGTTGCCGAGTGCACGCTTGTGTGCGTCATGTCTATTCCGAAATCTTCTTTACTTATTTGGTTGGTAAAACTAATAATGTACTTTAATGTTTGTGAAAGTCTTTAATGCAATTGGTTTTATAATGGCGGATACACAATGCGTTGGGTTTTCCACTCTGAGCACTGTTTGATACTTTCCTTTACAACACTGACATTATTCATTGATTAACTTAAATACTGTTAATTCTGATCAACTTTGTAAAATGTAAATTATACAAGCAAATTGATTTTACCCAACTGCCTTTAGCTTTTCGAATCAAACATTATGAATTTGTTCCATTTAATTTGTTTGCCATTCGCAACACTATTTGTTGCCCGTCGTGCGTGACCAACACTGTCACAAGGAGACAAATAGCCGGACTTTGATTTTTGGGTGCCAACATTGTCTGGCCGCCCGGCTACCTTGCCTTTTCCTCTTCCGTTTCTGGTCTTTCCATTCGGCGTCCTATATTTGCGGATCGTAAATCAAAAGCATCGGGACACTGAGTAGAGGGTGTGCCAAAAGGCCAGGAATCATAAATTGCCCGAGCATTTGAGAAGGAGCCACAAAACGCAAAATGGTCATAAATTCAAAAACCTAAATGGCTTTGGCAATACTGAATCAAAAGCCAACAAAGGGGAACCAGGAACTGGAGAAGACCGCCGCCAAGAAAGTGAAAGGCAGAAGGCCAAAAAGAAAAGGCAAGGCGGGGCGGGAATGAGGAAAAAGCGCCGAACATAATACAAATGACATATAACAGGGGTCGGGAAATATGTCTGAAATCTACTCGAGACAGTCGCCGAAAAAGCCAAGCGACCAAGAGCCATATCAGCCATATCAGACTCGAAAGGCACTTAAGACTTTGGCTAAGGGAAAGTTGGGGGAAATGGGAAAGCGGGCGAGTCGAAAAATCAGAACATGCCAGGAACCGCAAGCGAGATGTGACAAAAGGCAAATGGCAATGGGATTGCTTGGCAGGCAGCAAAAATCTAATAATAATAAAATACTTTATTGTTCAGTTAACAATTCAATTGTTTCACTTAACAAGAGACGGGCCACAGTCGAAGCCACAAAGCCAAGGGCGGCAGACAAATTTCTGCGTACATGAGCGGGAAAAGCTGGACACGTGTGCACGGGAAGAAAAATATTTAAGCTTCTTTTTAACCAAAAGCTTTTAATAAAATCCTAGTTTAAAGGTTGTAAATACAAATACTATTTGGGAAATACGACGTTTAAAATAGACAAAGTAAAACGGTAGAGCTGGAAATATGAAAATATTTACCTTACATAATTCGAAAACTGTTAGATGTTTGTACATTTTTTTTTTTAAGTAATGCAAAATTTTAACAATAAATAAAAATGCACAGATTTTTTTAAATAATAAATAAAAAAATAATACATAAAATGAAATTAATATATACAGATATTACTTGGAGTGTTGTAAAATAGAAATAGTAAATCGTCAGAGCTGGTAATGTGAAAATGTATTCACAACATAATTCCACTTCGTTTTTTTGCCAGTGCAGCCATAACGGTGTGTAGATAAACTGGTGTATAACGAACAAATTGCCACAAATGAACATTAAGTGATAAAGTGTTTTCCAAATCAAAACGATTGACTCGCCAAGGACACGACTTGCCAGAAGACGCCAGAAATGTCCTGAAGATGTCCTGCAGATGGGCAATGGGTTTACAAGTCAGAAATCAAATCAAAATTCGGCCAGCTGTTGGGTGGACGTGGACGATGTCCTGCCAGTCGATGAACGAGCTGCATCATCATCATCATTCGCAAACCCGTCATCACTTGACATTTCGAAATGACAGTTTTTGAATGCCGAAGGTTTTCCATTTCATCAGTGGCAGGCGAAGGCTCTTCTCGAGTGCCAGAAAGTGAAATGTATTTCCCCCGACAAAAGGTAGAATTTAATTCATCACTATTTCATCTCGCTGCACGTGTCGCTGCATTTTCTATATGCGCTCTATATATCCTCGATGCTAATGAGACGAGGTCGGCTCCTAATTGAAATTTCTGTGCAGACTAGAGCAAATTTTGCGGTGCCCGAAACTTTTTCTTGCCCCATTTATTATAATAACTCGCTTGTCGCCAAGTGGCAAGTTCCAATGGTTGGAAAACTTGGTCGGCGGAACTGGTGAGGTGTAGTTATTGCCAAATTAAAGTGCACGCAAGGTGACAACTTTTCAGCACGAAACTGCCAATGTCGTAAGGGTTTTGAAAGCAAATTTTTAAGTTGGTAGCAACTTTAAAATCCACTTTGAAATGCAAACATTATTAAGCAAATATATTAAGTATAAAAATTTTAATTTTATTTTAAAGTTAAATACCTTGTAATCTTTTAAAAACGACAACTTGCAAGTTAAGAAAAATCATTAAAACGTTTTTAATATTTAAATATTAAACGGTTTTTACAATAATAACTCTTTTGGTACTCACTAAAGCTAAGTTTAAATAAAAACTCTTAAGTAAGATGTTTAAGGTAATGTTAATCGTTAATGATTTTTAAATGATATTCTATCTATATAAGCTCCGATTAATTACTAATTTAATAACTAAAATTAATTTGGAATTGTGGTAATACTATGATATCCAATCTCTTGTGTGTATTAAATTCTAGAAAGTAGTTATTACTAAAAATAGGTAATTTAGTGACTAAGATATCCATATTATTGAATAGTGGGACTCCCAAAAACTATATGTATACAAACCGATTTTGTTGTCGCGTTTTATAGAAAATCTTTATCAATAGGTATTCAATGAGTTGTATGTAAACAAAAAAAAATGAATAAAATTAAATCTGTTAACATCCAATTGTATTGAAATTCCGTCTGACTTGTCTATTAAGCGCATTAGCCCCTCCATTACTTCCATCTCCTTCTCGTTCTCCCTCCGTCCTTACATTCAAACGCATCCTGGAATGTGCGATGGCGAATTGGCGGCTGTACTGACGGATTGACAGACCAGGCGGACGAGATTATTGGCCATAGGTAGTACATGGTAAATCAGGCAGCTGATGACAGACAATATCATATTAGGGCGGGGAATATTTCTCAGCCTACGATTGACTTTTTAAGTGCCATCAATCATGTTTCGATTCCAATTGAGCTTTGTCTTGATTAGAT